CGGTTTTGAACGCGTTGTAGGACGCCGGTAGACCATTCAGTATGTAAAGAACAATATCTTCGGGATCTATTTTGGCTCCCGCTGCTGCAATATTATCAACAATGGTCTTGACGGTGGAAAGATATTGTTGCATGGTTTGATTGTTCATCTGGACTTGATGTAACTCATTCTTGAGTTGTATGACGCGAGAGCGACATGTCGACTGAAGTCGTCGTTCAAGCGTTTCCCAAACTTCTTGAGCGGAAGACGAATTGATGACGTAAGGAAGAAGAGCCGGAGAAATGGTGGAGAATAACGCCGATGTCAAGTTGCTGTCGATGAGGCGCCAGCGGGCGTAATCTTCGGAGGTTTGATCAGGGGGAGGAACAACCTTACCGGTTAGGAAGTCAGCAAACCCATTTGCCGCAAGATTTTGAGAAATTTGGATTTTCCAAATGGCGTAATTGTCCACGGTTAAGGGATGAGGGATGAGGTTCTTGAAGTTGGATATGATGAATTTGAGGGAGGCCGGAAGAACGAGATCGATGTTCATACCTGTGAAGGTGGTGGAGGCTGGAGGGACGGAGGAGGCAGTTTCTTGTTCTGCCATATCCAGCTCTGATACCATGCTAGAGTGGATAGAGAAGAGGGAATGGAGAGGAGAAGAGACAGCCGTGTGAATGAGAAAAGTAAAATCATATTATTACCGAATGTTACAGGATATATTTATAATACAGTTTCAAGTACAAGACGTAAATATAGCTGGATTAGTTTAGTCTAAAAGGTATCTGCTCACACAAAACCTCTTCCAAGGCTTCTAAATCTTAGACCTATAATAATGAGAGTGAGATAGTTAAAAGAATTAAGCACAAAAGACATTTGTAGTCATAGCCACAGAGAGTCATGGCAATAATTGAGGAATTCAAAAGAATGGGCTAGGCAACAACACAAAGTATAATCCTAATGAAACTACGAATATTGAACTACGATGAAAATCTTAAAGAATGCTCGTCAATCAATAAGAGAGAGACGTATTGTGAATATATGAAGAGGGATAAGGATCAAAGTATTTTGTTGATTTAGGATGTCGAAAACTATATTATGATGTTATATGTATGACTTCTAATTTCAAACCTTCAAGTAAGAGTATAGAGCATGTCATTTTAAGGAGAAAGAGTTCAATTCATCAAAATATAAGATTGTTAGAGCTTCAAACTATTTCCTTCAACCTAAAGGAAAAGTATAATATGCTACAATTCACCTATGAGAAGGAATAGAGAATTCGTAGTGCCCACAACAGCTAGTTTACAAGCAAGAACAAAGAGCTTGTATCAAATAAATTAGTTTACTTATGGGAGAGAATAGGAGAATTTATAACAAACAAGATAATTCTTCTATAAACACGATCTAGTAGTGGCGATTGAATAAACACCTTCTACGAGCTGTGCTAATTGACGCTTAGAAGAGTCAAAACAAACTAAATGCAATAAGTTAAATCTAACACGCCACCGGATCCGCAACATGTGTACAAGCGGACAGAAGGCGTTTGTAAGCCCTCAAATGAAATCCCGGGCTATTTTCTAAGTAAAATCACTTGCACAATGGATCATATTTAAATATTTTAAAATGCCCTCTTATATATTAAATATGATCCATTGAACTAAATATACCCCTGCATGTGCTCCGACAAATGCAATAAATTTCTAAATGCAAATGTCTGAGAATGCTGCGTAGGGTCAAATAATACAACTCGCATGTGCTCCAATCATCACATCTAAGTCTTAAATCAAACGATTCGAGAATGCTGCGCGGGTTAAATATTTAAGTTTCATCCTCCTCCTTAAAAGAACCGGAGTTGATATGACTTGAATAACAAAATGTCTCCCAAAATACTACGAAAATATAAGTACTTTAATGTCACCCCGATGATGGCCGCGTTGACAGAAAATCTCAACTGGAGGGGTCAAATATCAAATTTCAAATCAAACAAAAGCCCAAATTACTGAAATAGAAACATATCATCTAAAACTTAAAACTAAAATAATCCACCTCTCGCAATAGTTTGTCGGGGGTGATAAATCTGAAATTAACCTCAGCTCACAAAGAGCGAATGTGTGTCGGGTGTATCACTACGATTCATCCTCAAATAGTCTCTTGCTAACAGGGATGTGGCACGTGCCCTCTGATCGGGTGGTTTTGCCGCAAAATGGCTCCATTATATTACGATCACGGCCAAAGCCAATATGTTCCTTAAAGGCGTCAAACCCTTGAGTTATGAATCATAGGGTATATTCGATAGGCATCAAGCCCTCTGTCAGCTAAGGTGGATTCATATATATTCCCTTAGACAAATACCAACCTAGGTCTACAAGGTATTCTTGGACGAAGCAACTCATGGCTGCCGACAAGATACCTTCTGTTAGGTTGGGTCGACTACCTCCTCTGACTAAGTAGACCTGAGATCATGACAGCCCGGGACGACGGAACCATGGGATCTTGATCGGGCTCGTCTTCATTCCCCCCAACTTCAGTTTTAAGTTTGTGGTGATAAAATTTAAATTTCAAATCATCCAAATTCAAAATTTAAACCCTAAAATTATTGCTATTATACAATAGGTTCATAACCTATGTGACATCCTTAACGACTAGCCTTAATCGAAAGTTCTCTCTTTGTTATCAGGAGGGGTAATTAACTATAGGGGCTTGCGCCTATAGGAAACTAGAACTCAGATCAAAAAGTCCTCACCAAATGAGGGCGAAATCTCTGGGTAGTGTCTTATCTAAAACCCAATCTGCCTTCTGAAAATTCCCCCGGAACCTAATCTCGTTAAAATTCTCTATCATCGTCATCACACAAACATTTTAAAAGATAAATAGACCGATGGCGCAGAGAGGCCGGGATCACACATATAAAATGGGAATTTTCGGAGCCCACACCCATCACAAATGAACAATACCTTGGGTGCTAGGTGATCTATGTTTTTCATCAATGGTCGCATTGAAACCACTTGAAACTTTCTGATGAAAGACAAATTAGAAACAAATTCTATTTAAAAAAAATTGACTCGTTTATAAAGGCCTAATCAAAACCCTAATTCAAATTCTCTCAATCAACAATGGGAAAGAATATTTTCTTTCCGTTCTTGCAAAGTGCCTCCTACAACATTGAATTATTTACCAAACTTTTGGTATCAATACTCAACAAAATCGGATATAAATACAAAATAAGATTATTTATCTTAGGAATTATATAGATATAAATTTGAATTAGTTTTGAAGTATCCAAGTAACCTTGTATCTATAGACATGGTTATGAGTGCAATGTATTCAATCATCTTATTATGAATTGAAATTCGAGAGCAAGCCCTCTTTTCCTCCTTGATTCCCTCCCCTCACACTCATGCCCCCTCTCCTAGGATTGTCTCAATTTTCCTAATTTGCAATAATCACAACAGTCTCCCCATCATGATATTCTCCCCTCCAATCTCTCTCATGGCACCCCATCTCTCTTCTAGAAATTCAAGGATCGAAGATCCCAAGTCTCGGGATTTAGACCTTGGTTGAAATTCCTATCATATTTTCATTATATCTCGTTCTGCAAACCTAAATCATTCTTCTCCTCCACAAAAGGTAAATTTAAGAGATCAAGCAACTCAAGGGAATTTTTGAAAGAAAGGAGAAGAGTTGAATCCTTGGCGTTTATCATCAATTTGATATCAAAGGAACCATATTTCTATCAACTAACCTCCCAAGTTCAACGAAACAAAATTTAACACTTATGTGTTAACTAATCAAATTGACTTACTGCAGCTAAGTGCTGGGAGTGGGGCAATTAACTTGAAAATTAAGGAAATGTACAAAAGTAAATAGAACAAATATTAGAAACCAAATGTCATTAGATGATAACAATTGTTAAATGATTGAGGCCACAAGTTTTTATGGATTAAGATTTGATTCTTGCTTAGAATCAAGAATCAAATGATACTTTAAAAGAACAATTTCATTTATCACACACACACACTTAGCATGACTAAGATCTTCAAGCATTATGGTTCTTTGAATGAGGAAATTAGCTCCAAAACAAGTTGATGCTTGCAACCAGTTTACACATATGCAAGAAGACCAAATGGTTCTTTGAATGTTTTCTTTTTTAGTCTCTTTAATATTAGCTCATAGAGTATCAAAACATCAACCACATAATTTAGATTTATAAATGAAATTAAGTATGCATACCTAAATTCTTAATCCCTAACATTCAATATTGACAAATAAACTAAAAAAAGAAAAAAATATTGACAAATAAACAAAAATAAAAAAGAGAGGAAAAAAAAAAGGTAGGCATGTAGCCTTAAGTTTGATGTTTCCACTTTTTATGAACCATTAGAAGATAAAATACATCATGCTATCTCCATTAGTTAAATCTATATAATTTACTTGAAATAAGGTTTTTACCAAGCCAAATAGCCTTTCTACAACAGTTAAAAAATAAAGGCATGAAAACTTGGATGCATTGGTCCCAATGGTACCTCAACCACAAATAATATTTTCAAAAACAGAATATTATTAAGTGTATGCAGATAAAAAAATGATCTACGGGTAGCCTATTTATCATACGGTTAGATTTTACATATTGGAGAAAAGAGAAAATTTCAACAGAAAGAATCAAAATCCACAGAGAACCAATTAATATTCAATCTAGTTAGCCTTTTTAAGTCTACTTACAGCAAGAAAAATATTTTCAGCGAAAACAGGAATTGTTTCAAGCAATCAAAACTTGGAGTAAATCCCCATGAAAAAAATTACAGCCAGCAAATAAAAAAAAAGGTATACAAATAAATGTGAAAACATCATGAATAAAATATTTGCAATATATATTAACAAACACTACAGAAAGCCTTGGGAAAGTAGATTGAGAAGAAATTTGTTCCTTCCTCTCGTCAGGAAAATACTGTGTACACTTAATGCAAATTAAGAACCAACTATCAAAACCATAAAAATTAAATAGCATTCATAGCACATACCTTAGCATAGGCAGCAGATTCAAACTCGGCTTTTTCATTACTAAAAGCCTGACTTTGCGATAAGCATCTTTCAGCTTCTACCTTTAATTTTTCAAAAGACTGGGTTTTTCTTACAACTTCTTCCTGCATTTCACCAAAATAATCATGAGATCACAGCAAATAAAATCAGGTTCTTTAGCTTGAGATATAACGCATCGGGCCCAAGAATGTAATACATAAGGCACAATTTCAAATAATTCAAATGTTTTACAACAATGAGGACATAAATAAGGAAGCTGCAAAAATGAGAATGCCACGTTTAGCCTGAGAGGAAGGCTGAAGTTTAAAATCGAAAAGATGAACTCAAGGATAACTTTAGAAACAAAGAGCAAATGTCCAAAATAGAAAATATCACTAAGATTAATTTTCAAATAATTTTTTTGAGAGTAAAGGCATGGCATTTTGTCCTCTAACCAATGGCTTGGCTAGACAACTCCATAGAACCCCTAGTTTGGCCAGAAGGCTCTAAACCATAAACGGTTATGATTGGTCCTCTAATCGATGGCTTGGCCAGAAGGCTCCACAAAAGAACCCGTTGCTTGGCCAGAACGGCTGCACTTGGTAAATGGTTATAATTGCGGCCCTTTAACCTAGTGGCTTAGTCAAACGACTCCACTGTATTATGATCATGGCAAAAATCTCATATGTTCCCCAATGGCTAATGACCTTGAGTAAAAAATCATAAGGTATAATCGATATGACATAAAGCCCCCCATTAACTAAGGTTGACTTGAATTTATCCCTCAGAAAAATATTCACCTTAAGTCTATAAGGTACCCTTGTACTCAGCAACTTATGGTTGCCGATAAGGATCATTCTATCAAGTTGAGTCGACTACATCCTTTGACTAAGTAGACTAGGGACCATGATGACCTATGATGATGGAACTGATTGGGTTCATCATCATTCCACCCACCATCTTCTTTAAGTGCAAGGTGGTGAATTCCTAACTTTCAATATTAAATTTTAAACATCTTAACCTATTGTTACTATACATTATACATTAGATACTAAGTATATGTTTAACGACTAGCCTTAATCGAAAGTTCTTATTGTTATCGGGAGGGGTAATTAACTATAAAAGTTTGCGCCTATAGGAAACAAAAACTCTGATACTAAAGAACTCACTAAGAGGACGAAATCTCTGGGAAGTATCTTATATCTATCTAATATGTCTTCCAAAAATTTCCACCGAAACTTCATCCGTTAAAAATCTCCGCAAATATAATGTGGAGAGGTCAGAGCTTCAAAAGCTCAAATTTTCAGAGCCCACACTACGTAACTATAAGTTCCTAGAAGTATAACCTGAATGATGGTAAACGAGTTTTTACAAATCATTCAAATTACAAGCATTTCTACTAAACAAAAACAAGTTGCCAATAAGGTACACATCCAGGAAACTATAAGGAGCTATAATCACTCACCGTCAAAAAATTTAAGCATAGTTATAAATCATCTAAAAAAGGAAAATAAAAAGAAACAGTTAGCAGTTACTATGCAGAAATAGAACAAAAAATATAAATCTAGAGAGAATAATTTATAAATTCATTTACACAATGCCTCAGAGCAGAATCACTTACACTGAGACGTATATTTGCATCCAATAGAAAATCCAGAATTTCAACAATATTCTGCTTGCTATCGGAAGATGGTTGACATTTCCAGCGCCACTCAAGCTTCGTACCCTGCTTTTCAAATGTCCACGAAAGCTATAAAAAGTAACACAAAATAAGAAAGTCGTGTTAGTATTGAACATGCAGAAATGAGTTAAATGGATCGTAAGTTCTCACAAAAGTTCAATAATTCCAACAAATTTTCAAAAGGTATTGGACATCCCAAAAGCAAAAGTAAAGATGATGATCAACACCCTGTTTCTTGCAGTAATTTCTCCATTGATGTAAACTATGATTAGTTTAACAACAGTGATAATGCTGATAATACTATTGAATTTTGATATGTGATAAAATTACTAATGCCAGTATCAAATCTAAATAAATAGAAAAGTTGAGGGTTATATTAAGTTGACAAAAAATATTAAAACTTTTATAGAAATCCATAAAACTGAATCCATATTAAAATTTTGCTCATGTTAAGTGCCTCTAGAAGCAAAACAGCACAACTTAACCTGATTGTATGAAAAGAGGACAACGGTTTATTGTGACATCTCAACAAGAGACGCCCCACAATTTGATCTTGTTGTAGTAAAAAAAAGGTTAAGGGTAGACTAGGGTGTTACTCGTACATAGCGCACCACAACTTAGCACACTTGTGGTCATCTAGGGCTAAGTTTAATTTAGATTTTCTAAATAGAATTTGTGGACTTCGAATAGCATGACAAATAATTGGTTTCCTTATGGGGACATCAGCTCGTGAAAGGTTTATCAGAGGCGTGGCCGCCGATCTACGGCCACGATCGAGTCCTTATATTTTTGAGTATTTATGTTATTCATGTATTTTTCTATTTGCATGTGTCATGTATTTGTTTTTATTATTTTTCCTGTTGTACCCTTTTAGTGGGGAATGTCGTATGTAAGCCCAAAGGACATGATTGTATTTTCTTTTCTTGAGTCCGTGTACTTGGCTATTTATAGCCTCATGCCTTTTGTTTTGAAGGAATGAATGATTGCTTATGAATATTTCTTCTTGGTTGAGTTTGAGAGAAAGCTTGAGAGTTCTAATGGAGAGAGATCCCTAGGAGAGGGAGATTTGCGCAACACCCACCAACCTAGATAAGTCGGGTTCGTGATTTCTTTTGTTTATCTCGTTTTCTTTTCTTCCTTTTGTTTCTTCCTTCTCCACCCTCACTGAGTCGCCGGATTCCACCACACCTAAATCCCCTTCCCCTACCTCCTGACCACACGGCCAAAACCCCCAACTCGAGCCCCCATACCGCCGGCTCTAGCCATCTAGCAGCCGGCTCCCACTCCCCCTTTCCCATTAAGTTCCATTGTCTAATCGGGATTGAATATTTTGGGACATATTTTTTAATTCAAAATTGTTCAATTTGCAATTTAAAATCTTTCCTAAAATACCAAATCTATTTTAGGAAAGTTCCTAAATTAAACCTATTTGAATTGGGTTTAATTTAAACTTTCCCTCTTTACTAAACCCAATTAGGAAGCCCTCAATTCCTCCCACTAATTGCTCCCCCTCTCCTTAATACCGCCCCCCGCTTGGATTAGGAATTATTTCCTAAATCAACACCTTGGCTTTAGGAAACTATTTCAAATCCCCTTGATCTATGCTGGCCGAATTTTCCTAAGAGCCTCAAATTATTAAATTATTTCCTAAACCAAATGTTGGAATTAGGAAATAAATCCCCACCCCTATCCCCCTTATTGCCTCCGGCCTCCCTTTCTCCCTAACCGCCTCTCTCTCTCTCTCAAATCTCATCTCCCCCCTTTAATTCCCCAAGTAAATTGATGCCTTAGTTTCTCCTTCCAACTCCCCTACCTCCTAAGCATAGAAATCTGAAATTTCTCTCAGATTTCGGCTCCAAAATCTGAAACTATTTCCAGATTTTTGAAAAGGGGGCTTAGGAATTATCCTCCCTCCACTTGTAAGAGAAAATCCTTTCTCTTTGCTACCACTCAAGAGGCGTATCAAATACTAAGGAGATCTTGTCTTCCACCACCCATGAATGGCGGATCCAGAGACTGATTATAGAATAACGTTGGACGAGGACGGTTTCACTGACATCCTACAATCCACCTTCTTCGACGTGAATCCAATGATTGATCACACCGTTGAGGACTACTTGGAGCGCATTCTGGACACCCTTAGTGGAAGCGATTGACGAGCACTTCGAAGGCGTCGAGTGAAGGATCTCCACCACTTCTTGACGAAGGTTTCTCTTTCTCCTTTTATTATATTTCTTAAGTCTAACTTCTCTTGGTTTTGATTCCAGTCACGACAGACGACTCTTTACTGCTCATGTTAAAGCTTAATAAACATAGGGTTTTAGTGCACCTTTATGCTTTCTAATTCTTGTTGTTAGACTAGGGATTTCTTTGAAACTACAACTTGTCATTGTGTTATTTTCTTGATTTATTTGGAAAAGCTTCAAATCTCTTGCTAAGTAATTTGGCCAAAGCGGGTGTGACCCCTGTTTGTTTTGATTCATCGTTTTAAAGTGCTATTAGTTTTGTTCTATGATTATTCTAATCACAAGTTGTGCAAAATCTAAATGAACTAAAAGCATCTCATACTTAGTCCTGCGTCATTTCCCGAATGATTGGAATAAAAAATCAACATCACTTTTGCAAGAAAATAAAAAAAAAATGGGAGAATTCAAGGACATTATGAAAAATTATTAATTATCTACATTGGGAGAGCTAACAATAAAAATAGAGAGTTAGGATGGTAATAGATAAAGAGTTGACAGATGAAATTGTTGAGCTGAATAAAATTAGCAATAAGGTGATTGCTAATAAATTAATTAAAAGTGATGAAATGATAATTATGATTAGTGTTTATACTTCTTAAGTTGGATTATAAGATAGCAAAATAAATTTTGGGAAGATATTAATGAACTATTATAATGTATATAGAAAAATGATTAAAATAGTCTCTTGACTATTTATAAAAGACCAAAATAGTCTCTAACTATATTAAAGGATTATTTTGGTCTCATAACTCAAAGAGGAACTAAAATAGTTTCATCATTAGACTATTTTGATTCCTTTTTTAATACTTGAAGGAGTAAAATGATCCTTCAATATAGTTGGGATCATTTTGGCCCTTCATAAAGAGTCAATAGATCATTTGCGTCATTTCCTCTAATGTATACCTATGAAAAAGAGGCTAGTAAAATGTTCAAAAGGATTTGTTGCAGGTATGAAGTATGAATTAAAAATGCAATAAAAAAGTTGACTAGATTTTACAATAACATATAATTTTGAAATAGCAATCATGTTTTATAAAATAAGAAAGACAATTGATTATTTAAAAAAACAGAGGAGCAAAATTACAAAAAGAATATTTTTCAATTAAAATAAAATAAAATTCATTTTTGCAAAAACTATGAAGTAATGCTAAAAACAATCTTGACCAAGCAACATAAAATAGAAGTTATGTGCGCCTAACTTAGGTGCACATAGAGAATGATCAACAAAAAGTAATTGCCCTCAAATAATATAATGAACCTTAAAAGGTGAGAATTTGTTACTCTTTCAAGATAGAATGTTAAGAGAGAGAAATTTAAATTCTATAGTTAAGTCAAACTATAATATGCAATAAAATGACTTGTTTCTTTAAAAAAGATTATTAGACGTCTTATGAGATAACTAATGGATAGTGCACTAGGAAATCTGGTGGATTAAGAGAAGTGCAAATGTTTAAAAATGAAACAAAGTAAACTTTTAAGGAACAAAAAAAAATCTTGTAAGACTTAACAATAGTTATATGGAGTTTGCTAAACCTACAATGAGCATGGTTAGGGATGCATAATCTATAGATTTTAATAATTTTTATGATAACCATTGAACAATAATATATATATATATATATAGACACACACACACACAAAAAAAGATTTACAAACTTAGCTTGAGTTTAATGCAGTCAAAGTGATGATAATAAAATATTAATTAATATAGGAAGACACCAAAGTTAGAAATACTACTTTGAGATATAATAAATAATAGTTTTAAGGAATATTATTTTCTTTTTTTTAAGAAGCATAATGAACTAAATAATAGTGTATTTTATAAATGAACAAAAATAATGAAGTAGAGTTAACATTGAATAAAATCTTTGAGTGAAAATATAATATCAAGACTTTAAAATTTATGCATGATTTTCAATTTATTTGGTTAACAAATCATTTTAATGAAACTTTGAAGATAATATGTAAATGATTAGAAAAGAAGCATTTTTATGTTGATATTCAAGCATAAGGAGGCGTTTTCTTATTGTGGTAATTACAAGGGAACCAAAAATATAAGCCATCCAACAAAACTATGGAAAAGAATTAAAAACTTTAGAGTTAAAAAAATTACAATAATATCAAAGAATTGGTTTGGCTTTATGCCAAAAGTTGCACTATGGCTGTGATTTATATTAAGAGAATTAATACAAAAAAATTAAAAAACAAAGGAAAGATTCATTTGGGCTTTTTATTAACCTTGAGAAAGGATCAAGTACTACAAGAATTTATTTGATGTGTCAAAGAAAGTTTGAAGTTATTAAAAATATTAAGCATTGAATAGTGTTAGGAGTAATTGCAAATGTTACCAAGGAGTTCCTTATCATAATAGGTACTAATCAAGAATCAACATTAAGTTTGTATATTTTTTTATTGATAATAGAAGTGCTCTAAGAATTATTTAAAGTAAGGTTCCTTGCTATATATTTTTTGTTGAGGGAATCGGACAGACATTTGCCAAAATAAGTGATGAGCAAAAAGAATGAAGAAAATATTTAGAAGATAAAGAATTTGGATTAATAAAATCAAATAAAGATATGATCTTCAATTTTATGGTGCAATATTACTAATTATCAGTAAACATTACCACCATAAAAGTAAAGTGTACATATATGTGATAGATTTAAATATCTTAAATCTATTATAAATAAGAATGGATCTATAGATGAGAACAAAACTTCTAGAGTTATGGATAGATAGTTAAAATGGACAAACATCTCAAGAGAACTACTCAATATAAAAATATTATGAGATTTACATATCAAATTTAATAAAAAATACAACTAGATCAACTATGTTGTATGACTCTTGAGTATTGAATTTTAGAACAAAATCATTAAGGACCCTTATGCATCATAATCAACCCCAAAAGCTTAAGAAGCTATTTAGTTGCAAGAGCTAGTCTAGATTTAGTTATGATTTAAAGTAAATTTCATCAAATATTTTTTTCAGCATAAATTTTATTTTTCTCACATTTTGGGCTAAATTGTGAATTTTAGTATATTCTAAAGTAGAATTTAAGAGATGGCCACTAATTCTCTGCTCTTCCTTCTAGTTTATTTAAATTTTAAACCTTAAAAATATTTTTTTTGCTAAATCATACGTTAATTAAACCCTAATTGTAGCCAAAAAGCCCCTGGCCTCCTAAAATCCCCATTATATATAAAAATGAAACTCATAGAAACAAATAACAACCATCAAAATCATCAAAATATAAAGAAGAGTGCAGGAAGTTAACCCTCATTTGCCCTTTGTCCGCATCTTCGAAACCATATTTAGAATCCGGCTGCTGAAACCCTAGGTACCGTTCGGCGAGCGCAACGTACTCCGAGACTGATTGGTCCCACTGCTCTGCTCTTTGCCTCACCTCCGCATCCGACCCTGCAGAGACAGAGAGAGAGAATAATTTTTTTAAACAAAAGAATAATACATTTGTCGGAGATCGTATCAAAGGAGGAAACATTATGGGAAAATCAAACCCTCGCAAGTCCAGACATTGAGGCCATCGGTGATGGAGAGGCGGAAGTGGGAGGGGAACCAAGTCCCGCGTATAAAGATCGAGTCTTTGCTTCTTCCTGAAGCAGAAGGGAGCTCGAGCTTGAGGCAAGTGTGCCTTGCGTCGGCGTTGCAGGCTGGGTCGTCTTCCATGGCAAGCGGGCAACGAGTCGGGTACTCTCCGTCCGGGCAAGCTTTCTGAGTTGACTCTGTAAAGGCTTGTTCATTTAGCAAACTGTAATGGTTTAAACTGAGAATTGCAAAGGAACTAGTCGTGGCAGCGGGGAAATTATTCTGTGCGGAAGTAGCTTTACCTCTGCGCTCCAAAGACACTTGGATTTCTTAAGAGCATCTAGAACCGAAAATCTCATTTTTCACTCCAAAATGTACTTTTCACACTTTTGCATAACCACTGCAAGTTCGGTAGAGAAGTAAAAATGACGGAGATAAACAGTGCAACGCTAATATTGGCGTCCTACTATTCACCGGCAGCCAAATAGCGGGAAATTTGCGGTTCCGCTGGAACTGGTCAGGGACGCCATTCAAGCACTTGGAGTTCGGTTGGAGATGCCCTAAAACCCGGCTATCCTAATGGACCCAATTCAGCTAAGAAAATTTTAAAATCGTTGTAACCTAATTATTTTTTATATTTAAAAAAAAAATAAATATGCAAAAGCTCTCAATTATTTAGGATTTTTGTTAAATAAAATATGAAGATTTATTTGGAGGACTTCGCATTGTATGTAGAGTTGTTGAAAAAGAAGAAAAATTGTAAACTTAAAGTATATTTTACTTTCCTAATAATTTATTTTCAATGTATATTATGAGGCAATAAATATTTGCTGAGCTTTATTTTTCAACAGAGAAATCTATCGTAAAGGCAAATACAACAAAATTGTGTTCACCTTCAAAACATATCAAGTTCTCAAATGAGCTAAATATTTTAACGGAGAATTTATAAACTGGGCATCAATGATTTATGTGTTTTTTTTTTATATGTCACACACATTAACTTAATTCTTAAAAAATTTATAAGTTGAATGCCTCAAAAACACATTTTTTTATAAATCAACTATGTAAAAATTATAATTTTTTGAATATTTATTTATTCTCACATATGTAATAATTAGGAATTTTTCTCTTTCGTTTATGTGATGTTTTGCTCATTTTGATGTTATGTACCGCTGTGTATTATTATGTATTGTTAATAACAAATACTTATGATATTAAAGAATCAGCATCAGCACATACAATCAAATTATGACAAAAAAATAAGCTAGAATCTTGAAATTGATCTCGTTAAAGAAAAAAATAGAGTTCATCCTCCAAATAATCTTTAATTTGTCTTTTATGCGTGTGTGTGTGCGCGCGTATAGTTTTAATGTTTAGATAACTTATAATTTATTTTTCAAATAAATATATATATAACATATAATAAATTCATAAGTACTTTTATATTCATCTATCAAGTTTTATTTTATTTTGAAAAAATAATTAAATGAACATGATACTAATTTAATACTCAAAATATATTTAATGCATAGTAGTACACAACGGTACAAAATAATGCATAACAGTACACAGTGGTAGCAGTATACAACATTAAAATGAACAAATTATCACAAAAACAAAAGAGAAAAAATGCATAATAATGAGAGAATAAATGAACGTCTAAAAAATTATTATTTTACATAAAAATTTACATAGTTGGTTTACAGAAGCAAGTGTTTTCGTAGCATTCGACGTATAATTTTTTTAAAAATACATTATAAGTGAATGTGTGTAAAACATCACAAAAAACACAAACTATTGTTGCTCAGTTTGTAAATTCCTAATTGAAGCATTTGAACTTGTTTGAGAACATGATATGCCCTGAAGGTGAACATGGTTCTGTTGTATTTGTCTTTACAACAAATTTCTCTGTTAAAAAATTAAGCTCAACAAAACATATATTGACTCATAATATACATTCAAAAGAAATTATTAGGCAAGTAAAATACACATCACTCTTAATTTTTTTCTTATTTTCCAATAGCTCAGTAGATAATACGAATTCCTCCAAACCAATCTCCATCTTTATCGCCTATTTAATGTTTTTTTTTCTCAACAGGCACCAAAAGTTTTATTCCACAAAAATTCTAAACATTTGAGAGTTTTCGTGGATTTCTTTTTAAAAAACATAAAAAATTAGTGGTTGCTGCGATTTCAAAAATTTCATAGCTGGGCTGGGTCATTTCTTAAGAAACCCACATATCTTAATTTGATTGAAGTTCGGACGTAGAGCTACGTCCGGAATCCGCATAGAATAATTTAAAAAAATAAAGTTTTTTACAAATTTGATGTTTGTTTGGATGAAAAAGAAATTCAAAGTAAATGTGGTATAAACTATTTAAGCTCATTTTTAAGGTAAACCAAATTCATCCAATTTTGAGTGAGAATGTTTTACACCTCAAGAAAGCTTGCCTGACTATCGTCGACTGTCGCCACCCACCACCGACAACCACCATGTCAAATACTGTTTGGAAACCAATCAGAATGTGTCACGTTAACCCTTGCTCGATGTCACGGTTGGGTATTACTGATGTAGTGCACTCTGGTTGATCTCTGGATGCCTTTTTGCATCTGTTCTCCGCACAGAATAATTTCTTCCAAAGGAGCCTTTTGCTTGGCTGAAGAAGAAATGAAAATAGAAAGTGTAAAAGGGTTAGGACAAATTTTGAAACTAAGCAGGTTAATAGTTAAAATTAGGTAAAGGAGCTGAGTGAGACATTATTTTGAAAAGGAGCAAAGCAGTTTTTTTTTTTTAATGACGAGGAACCGTCCGCTGCCACACTCAGGTTTGCCAAGTGCGCTTGGCGGTCCGTAAACCCCGACCGACCTACCGGGCCACCCACACCTAAGTACTGCAGCCGGTGCTTAGGAACCCCACTTAGGGCGACAGCCGCTCCAGGGAATTGAACTCGGAATGGGGGATTCTCAACCGAGCACGCCCACCAACCGAGTTAAGCCGCGGTGGGTAAAAAAAAAATGAAGTTTTGATAATATATGTCTATTAGCTTTTTTTTTTTTTACTTTTAAAAGTAACTCGACTTATTTTTATAATAAAAAATATAATTTAAAAGTAAAGATTATGGTTGTTAAAATGGGTTAGAAGGTCAGGTTCTACTCCGATACAAAATTAACTTGAACTAAATCCAATTAATTTGAATCCAACCCATTTAATAAAAGACTAAAAAAATGTAAAAGTCAAATCTAATCTGGTGGTGACCCGAATGACCATACAACCCATTTTCATTAAAAAAAAAAGTAATAACTTATAAACTATATAGTTCGAATTAAGTGATAAAAAAATAAGATCATATCAACAAACAAAAGAATAAATAAAATATTAAATGGATCACTTTCTAGTGAGAATCAGCTCCCGATCAATCCGAGTTCAACCCGTTTACTGAATAGGTCATTTGAACCCAAAATTTTTTGATCGAGTTGACGGATGAGATCATTTATTAACACACTTAATAGAAAAGTAGGGATTCTATAAAAGATATTTTTTGTGCACATTGTTGAAGTATGAGAGCATATGACTATGCATCAAGAGAGTGAAAAAAAATTATAATAATAAGAAGAATATAAATCAAATCACTTAAACCAAGTATTCTCCAACAATAATAATTCGCAATATTACATTTCCACAATAGCAAACGGTCAATTTAACGACTAGCAGTACTCATAAAATTTGCACCATAATCTCATCCCGTGAATTAAACACAAGTTATCTTAAATTTAAACTTAATTAATTAATCAAATTCTTATTTCTCAACTAAGGCTTCATTTGGAGCAACTTTTATATCGCTTCTTAAAGCAACTTTTTAGTGTAAAAATTTTAATTTTTTATTAAAAAGTTGATTTAAGAAGTAAAAAGCCGTCCCAAACGAAGCCTAAGATTTCGGCTTTATTTGGGACGACTTTGTTACTGCTTTTTAAATCATCTTTCTAGTAGAAAAATTAAAATTTTTATTCTAAAAAGCTTCTATAAGAGGAGGTAAGAATGCCGTCCCAAATGAAGCCTTCATTTAGGACGGCTTTCTTACTGTTTCTTAAAAATTTTTATTACAAATTTTTAATTTTTGTTTGTACTGAAAAATTGCTTTAAGAAATATTGAAAAAACCGTTTCAAATGAAGCCCAAGAATAATCAATCCTAATTTCAGAAAAGCTAAATTTTAACTAAGAATAATCAATCCCTACGCTTATTGCAATCCAAACAAATTTAAAATTTAAAATAAAGAAATATTAAAATGGGCTCAAATAGCCAATTCAATCCCTTTGTCTCTTGATGAACTCCTTTGGTTTAATCCATAAGAAACTTTAGCCTTCCTTATCCAATTGGTTGACTGAACTGCACCTATATTATTGCTAATGCTAAAGAAGACTTGATATGCAATCACCTGTGTTAAACCAACGTTAACCAAATGCTCGACTACGATAAGCAGGGTGTCTTAGAACTGCCCTATTATCCACCTCTCTGCAATCCAGCCAGTATTTTTTCAAAATTTATCACATCATCAAAGGATAACAGATTTCTGCTCCACTGCAGTAACACCTTTATTTTTCTGTATAAATACAGAAACAAAGTTCACTGTGTATTTTGATTTTCTTCTTCTTCTTCTTCCTGTTACTTCCTTTCTGTTTTTCTGCTTTCTATTCCTCTGTTCTTCATCCAGGTAAAGCAGAAATTGCTGCTCTCTAGATATTCCGCAACTCTTTCAGCCTGGTTTTCATCCTAACTAACAAAATACGCAGCGTGGCTGTGACTGGACAATTTCAGTAAATAATAAAGCTTTAACTAATTAGAAAATATTGAGGAAATATTACAATGACAAACATCATTAACTTAGGCTTCATTTGGGACGGCTTTCTTTCTGCTTCTTAAAGCAGCTTCTTAGCACAAAAATTTTAATTTTTATACTAGGAAGCTGCTTTAAGAAGCAATAAAAAAGCCGTCCCAAACGAAGCCTTAGTGCCCTATGCTGGATACTACTTCTGGAATTCTCGATTGATCATGTAAGTTTAACATTGAGAGATTATTACGTGCGGAGACCGGACATAAAGAACCCTTTGGTTCTATTTCTATGAATAGTAAAATCACAGTACTACACTTTTATTGTTCATAGAGATAAACCGGATGGTACTTTGTGTCCGTTCCGATCCGCACGTAATAAATTATGCTTAACATGAGGGGTTGGTTTCTTTGAGCCATTATCAGTGTAATCTTGGGTACTTCGAAGATATGTACTACAAGGACTGTATCGACAGCAATTTAGTGCTTATCTACCTGTGAAACCAGAACTTTGGAGTAATATAAAATCATCAAGTTCAGGAACCGAATCAAGATTTGCATAAATAGGATTACATAAACTATCATTCATTATAAATTTTAAGTTAAAACTACTATGTACAACAAGGAAATGGAACCTGAGAGAAACAAATAGCAACTTTCAGGTAGAGAAACAAATCGTAAATAATTTTGGAATAAAGCCTACGGGTTCACAACTAAGACTATATATAAATTATCAAAGAAAGAATGCTGCAATTATTGTGCGTATACCTCAAGCTCCATATAATCTGGCTGCAAGAACAATCCTTTACTGATATATATTATAGTTCGTTATATTAATCAGAAAGGTCTCCTCAGCCCTCTGAAATCCATGGTATCAATGCATTCCAACCCCGTTCCATAAATTTTCAGAAACTTCAGCAGCTTCGTTGCGCTCTCCCTGGCTCCCTGACTGCACTCCACCTGAAGCAACATCAACAACTTAAGAAAAACCCCATCCTGTAAAGCCTCTATAACACAGCCTACCATTTCCCCGTTCTCCTCGCCTCCCTTCCAGTTTTTGCAGAGCTTCCACAACGAAGACACGGCGAACTCCGTCGCCAGATCTGAAATCCCAAACATCCTCACTACCAGCACCGGCACTGTCAGCGCGTTCTCGTATGCCTTTTCCCTCCCCTCAGCACAGCCACAAAGTCGATCAAAGGCCGCAAGCGCCGCCTCGGTCATTTTCCTTTCCGATTTGGAGTCCACAATAAACTCAATGATCAAATCGACCAACCGCATCTTCACAAAATTATTCGCTACCCACTCATCAGCCGAGACAACGAGATGGAAAGTCGCCAAAAGAGAAGTCTTACTATCCCTAGGAGAATTCGGAGCCCTAATCACGCTCATCAATGCTTCAATTAGACCGTCAATCCTCGCGGCCGCCCTCGCAAGTTCACTATCAAAGCATACGATCTCCTTCAACAGGAGCAGGGCGTTTTGCTTCCCCAATGAATCGCCATATTTGAGGATCGAAACAATAGAATCCAGTGACTCCGGAGATCCGATGTCGAGAAATACCTCCTCGTCATAAATGGGGAAAAAGAGGACCAGCTCTGCTAGTATCGCCTTGAGGACGGGTTCGGTGCTGCTGCCGCCGCCTGCAAATGAGCGGAAGGCCGTAGCGAGAACGCAGGCGGCGCCGGCGCCGGCTAGGCGAGAACGGTTCCGATTATCCATTAAAATGGCGCTGAGTCTCGACGTTGATTCCAGGCATCGAGCGCAGTCGCCACTCCGACTAGCTGAGGCGAACTGAGAGAGGAAAGAAGCGGCATCTGCAGAGTTCAGATGATTGTGGCGGCGGGATGTGGATTCAACTGCATAGGTTCTCCGGCTATCGCCGGGGAAGTTGTCGATGGCCGTATGCATTGATGGAGCTCGGCGGCGGACCTGAATTATCCCACTGAGTGCCAGACAGGAGTTCTAAGCTTCCTTATATCATAGGGCGGAAAGAGACAGAACTG